TGTTCTTCCAGGCAAAAGAATCATTAGTCTCTTCTTGTGAACAACCTTGTCTGCCTTCTCAGTATACGTATTTTTAAACACTGTGATGCAGGAACCAGGGTGTAGTCTTGATGTTGTCAGCATAACATGAGTTCACACAAAAATAATACAGTGCCTGTTTTGTCCTCTGTTCTTCACAATTATACCCATTAAACTTTGGACAATGCTGAGCATTGACTTGATCCTTCCACTACTGTCAGCAGCTTCATGATCTTTTTCCCAAGTGGGAGTAACCAGTTTACAGCCAAAGTACTGTATTCATAACAGGTTGTTTTCCTTCCCTTCATTCTGCAGGCATCTTTGCATTTGACATTTTAATTATACCATCACCGAAATCAGATTTTTTTTTCCCCAGCAGCAGCAGCAAGATTTATTTTCTAACTATTCCTCCCCTTTTCCAAATAGTTTATTAATGTATTCAGTAACACAATATTAGTATAGACTACTGAAGGGACTCCAAGGGCAGTCACTCTCTGTTGTGAAAACTGAATATTTATTTCATTCTGACTAAAGGGTCTTTTTTTAACGCAATACAACACTGAAAGGCAGTTCTAGTAACAAGGCAAAGTGACAATGGATCCCCCATGACTCAAAACTAGGTATAATAAATATACCCTTATTCAAGACATTCAAAAATTGACACTCTAAAATACTATACCCAGATTCCCAAAGATCCAGTGCTGCAGAATCACCTGCTCCATAATACGCCTCTCACTAATCTGGAACAGCTAGCTTCAGGAAAATCATAGGCAAAGATTTAACTTTTAACTGGCACACTTCCACAAAAAATGGTAAGAGTAGAACCAAAAAAGAAGTCAGAAATGGGCAGCAACTGGTCCAACTATTATTTCTAAGAATAGTATCAACAGTACACAAAGGCAGACTTTGATTACGACACCTCGAGATTACACTGTTCTTCATACAAAACAATCCTTTGTCTTCCCACAGCACAGAGACTTAGCCAGCTTGATTTCCTTTATTGATTTCTTTCAGGTCAGCCTCAGCAGCAGACTTAAGGTAAATTTAACCGCAGGCTTAAGTCCACCTGGACCTCTGCTAACTCTCTGGTACAGAACTCTGACAGCTGAGGTGCCGGCCAACACATTTTAAAACAGGAAATGGATTTTAGGTTCCTAAAGCAGCAGCTAGTCATCTACAGAACAGATAGATAGGAATGTTAGTTCTTGTAAAGAGCTGTCTAGCATAGGTGCTATGGAGTTCAACATATCTCAGAAGGTATGGCCATCTGTTTAGTGTTTCCTTTTTAATAATGACACTTTATTATTTATTTGGCACTGTCATATATGAATTCTTTCTTTAAATGATGTTTAAAAATGCTTTGGCAAGGCTCTGAAATGGGCATGGCAATGTTTCCTGGCCATTAAGTTTTGAAGCATTAATTAGCTCTCTGGCAAAAACAGCTTTCAATCACATCATTCAATATGCACCATTCTTTAACTGCCAAGACAAACAAAAACATCGAATCCTAAGTCCTGCTTGTTTTAAGCATCCTACTGGGTGACAGCACCCTGGGGAGAACAGCAGCAGCCAGTTCACAGTATACAACATTCTCAGTTGGGTCCAATCCATAGCTCTACAAAATCAAATAATAATACGGTATAGTTGTGTGCAAATAGCATTAGAAAATGGTCTCAGTCAGTGCCGCACATGCCTGCATCAGCTCCAGGAGTTGCTCCAGAGCATGCTTATGCTTTTCAACTTGTACCTTTGTATATGCTGAAGATCTCAGGCCTAAATCTTTCCTTTCCATTTCTATTCCTCTGCAAGAAGTTCAAGCCAGTTCCCAGTCTTCTGCGTGTCAATCATTCTGAACATATTCAAGTTACACACGTCCTTTTCTTCAGAACAGCCAGGCTTTATGAGGGACAGAGCTCTCTTACTTTTAGGGGGAACAGTACTGCAAACGAAGGACCTGACTGTGAGGGAGTGACAGGGAAGTGAGGTTACTGTTCTGAAATGCTGCAGCATTAATCACCAAATCAGCTCCCTTTCCCAAAAGGTAACAGAATAGGAAGTATCATCTCTTCACTGATCCAGAAAGCTAAAAGGCTGCTTTGCCATGAGATATTCTTCATGCCTCAAGCAGTCATTTTCTCTGCCCTGACTGCTTATTTATGAGCAGACAACTTGCAGACAAACACTAGCTGGACTCCAAAACAAGTAAGAGCTCTGCCACAATTGCTCTGAACCCTAGGGCTTAGTAGCTCTGCCATGTTGTGCATAGGCAATCAAGTGTCTATCTCACTTTGGGAAAGATACCATAAATGCTAAGCTGGCTGAAAGACTGTACTTGGCATTAATTGAATCATTGATCAAAATAGTGATGTTGCATTATGTTTTAATCTTTTGACAAAGACATTTGCATAAAATGCTTTATTTGAACTCTCATGATTCCACACCCTGACAGGCTGAAGCAGCACAGGATTTCTTTGGGATGGAAGGCTTCTTAAATAGTAATTTAGGAAGGAACTCCAAGGTGTATAAAGTAGTAAGGTGATTTCACGGATGGGATCTGAGCCTGATGAACATAGCTAACTATTCAAGCACGCAGGCAACAACCTGAGCAGATTCATCTCCAGCACAATTGCTGTTTTCAGGCATAAGAAGGGCTAAAAATTTTCAGAAAAAGCTCAGCAGGGCAAAATTTAAGTTGCCTGAATATAAACCTATGCTTTAATTGAAAAAAAAAAAAAAATTAGAAGTTGTAAATCTGGAAAATCCAGCATTGATTATATAAAAATAGTTACCACAAAAAACTAAACACACATCCATTGTCTTCCCTTAAACAATTCTAAAATTCTAATTAGATAACGTCATAGAAATGGGCTTGTAACTGTTTTGCGTACAGTTGTGTTCAAAGTTCTCAGATTTCCTTATTATTATTCTTACAGTAGGGTTTTAGCATTCTAAGATCACTTGAAATAGACTGTCCAACAGAAAAATACTATATATTAACATGTAATTTTAATTAAGTTAAACTTAAAACCATTAAGTTACCTTGTAACTCTCAGAATAGCCATTCTGTTTACTGAGTACTACAGTTTTGATATGACTTTACTGTTCTTGCTCTACACTAAGATTGAATCATGCTTTAATTTTTAGTATATGCCTGCAACCTGTGATGCCATAACATTCAGAGTGCTTCATATATAAGCTGTTCATTTACTACAAGCTATCACTTTCTGGAACCTATACAGGTTGGTGAGCATTTAAACAGAAGCATAACCAAAAGGATGACAGCGTGGTTCAGAATTGTGTGGTTCCAGTACTGCACAGTGTTCATCCGCAATAGGAAGGCTTAGTTTAGTACAGATTTTGATGAGCCTAAGGTAATATAATGAAAATGAGGCCTACAACTCATGCATGATTCTACTCAATGATTCTACTCATACCTACTATAACAACAGGCTTCATACCTTAGACCATGCTGTAAGCTAACAACTATTAGCCTTAACAGTAATTACAAAAAAGATTTATTGTAAAACGTTATGGGAGATATAGTTAGAATGGAGGATCATGACAAGATGTACCACGTTTTAGGAAAAGCCCAGCTTTTGGTGTACTTTATAAGACAGTTACGCTGAACATATTTCAGGCCCAGCTAATAAGAGACTTCATTTATAAATACAGAAATTATGTTTGTGGAAAAACAAGGCTTATACGGTTGCATTTCATTATTTCAAGAGGTGCTCAAGAAACTCCACTACTGACTACCCTAATTTTGCAGCTACACGTAATTGGACTGCATTAGATAAGAAAAGTACAGCAAATATGGTTGGAGGATAAAGTACAACACCATATTCCACTACTGACTAGTTTCATTTGTAGGCTTGTATTTGATAAGTGCCTAATCACATGAGGGAGCTACTATCCCCAGTAAACCCACTGTAGTGTGTTGGCACAACTGTTTGAGCAGCTACAATTCACAAGCAAATAATTTGCTTTAATTCCTCATTATGTTGCAGCCGGTTCAGTTCCCTGACTCAGTCTGTCACACATCCAGATGCGCTACCACATTATAAGGGCAGAAACACTTCAATGAGTTTTGCTATCATGAGAAGCGCTCACACATTCAGTACCTGAACAGAAATCAACATCTCACTGGCTTCTACAAAAAGCAGTTCACTGCTTGGAACTTGGTCACTCAAACCGACACTCCATTAGCCGGCATGTTGCAAAGAAATCTTACCACAGCATTCAAAGAAATTAGGTAGGAGAGCTTCAGAGAAATCCCCTCCCATTTGAATAGCTGAATGACATAAAAATTTAAAAAGATTTGAAGAAATTTGTATTTACCTTCTTTTGCAAGGACCAAAAATTCATCATCTCTCACGCATTTTATTCCATATAGTATTCAAATATGGATTGAGATTATAATACCAGTATCATTACTAGAGAGAAACAATAGACCTCATCACCAGGAGCAAAAGTGTTTCATTTGGTACTGCAGTTTCCTTTACATTTCTAAAGAAAAGTGCAAGAACACATACACACAAAAAGAGACTGCACTGCAGCACTGAATGAAAACAGAAGGATTTCTTATACTCATGAATAGGCTCCATAGAAGCTCAATAGCAGCACTGCTCTCACTAGACGAGCATGTGTGAGGATGTTTCAGAAGCATTACTGTTGAGCAGCAAACCTCAGAATATTTCCATAAGAGTTGGGAACAGATGCTATAACTGCACATTCCGGTAGTGAAATTCTCCTTACACTTTGCTCCCCTGTTTTAAGGATAAGCTTTCAAAACTGGCCAAGATGTAACAGAATACAAACACATTAATACTATAACAGTCTTGCGAAAATTTTTGTTTAATAAAAACATCAGTTTCACTTATATTTCTTTATATTTCTTTTTTTGTTCAGCTAAATGACAAGTTTTCTTTAATCCTACAAAAATATTTGCTACTGGAGCAAAAAAACCCATGTTTTTTCCATACCATTAGTTTCTGCAAATTTCTGAACATCAGCCAAAGTTTTCAGTTCTTTCGTTGGGCAAGCTGACACACACAGAGCAAGAGATTTGATCCTCTGATGTACTAAATCAACATTACATGGATCCAAGAAGAACACATACCTAGAGAATAAAAATAGGTGAGTTTTTATTTTAATGAACAGTCAAAAGAATTCACATATTCAACATATGCACTACAAAGGTACTGATATTTACAGACATCTGGATCACAGTACGGATACTTAACTTTACCAGTCTCCTGGTAACTTTTCAAGTCTACTCAAATGGTATCGTTTACGAAACAGCAGCACTTCTTCATAGATGCAGGTCATAACATTCACAAATAAAGCTTCACTCCAACCTTAAACTTAACTTCGAGATCTCCAGCTTTTTCCAAAAAAGATACAACAAAACACCCTGCAAGGTTACATTTATGTTATAAAAAGGAATAAGTCTGTGGATATTTCAAATCTATATAAATTCAAGCAACTCAGAAAAGCCTTTAAGACTGATTTTTCCATCTCACTGGCCCATATTATTGAATAGATCATTCTGGTATTTATTCTGAAATGAAAGTTGGCTATTTCAGGTAGGCCCATCTACTCTGATGGTGTAGTGCGTTAAAGAGATTCTATTTGATACATATCCACGATGTTCACTGTCATTTAAAAATACAAGTTATGAAGAATGCATTATAACCTCTTAGGAAACGACTCCTAAGTATAAACATCTCACCGCAAACGCTAACTACAGTATTGTCCATTCACGGTATAATACAGATGGGGAACCTTTTCTTTCCTGAAAGTTAAATAAGTCTTTCATAGTCCTTTTTTGGTGATAGGCTGTGCATTAAAATATTCTTTTCATATTATCTGACATCATGATAGGAAAACAAAACAAAATAGTTGTTTACTCATGGATCATACAAAATGGTATTTTATGTTTATTTTAGTAATCCTTATGGTGGAAATTTATTCTGTAATCAATAAATATCCCTTTAGATAACAGAAAAAATTATTTACTTGTTACAATGTGTTTATTGGTGTTCTAACAAAGAAAAACATAGCATCCAAAGAGATTAATGCTTTATTTAGTTGCTTGGAACATTTAAGAACAATCTTCTGCTACGACAGAAAGTGTTACAAGGAAAAAAGACAAAATCATAAATCTATTTTTAAACAACAATAACAACAAACCTCGTTCAAAAATCACAGCACAGACACTAGGAAAAGACTGCACATATTACATAACTTGGCCATGTGCGTAATTGGTTAGTATTTGCTTCCTGTCTGTACATTTTCAGCTTACATGGTAATTACAGTCTAACCTTCCCCTGTAGAAAGACTGCTGTATTATCCAATCTCTGTGTACAAGAATTATGAACATTTAACAGGGTTACTCAGTTCTTAGCCTCCAAGCTGTCTTACTTTGTGAAATTCCAAACCCCATGCCATCTACATTAACTACAATAGAGTAACAGACTTAAATAGCATTCGTAGAATATTTGCTACTGATAAAATATTGTCAAGATCTCTGTGAAGATTATCCTGTACTTTCTTTTTTTTTTTTTTTTTTTTTTTTTTTTTAATTTTTTTAAACCTGCCTTTCCTCTTGTCTAATTTGTTGTAGATCACTTAGGTTTTAGGAAGCTGGTAAAAAGTAGTGGTTCTTGGACCTTGACCAGAGGACACTTTTGGGATGTGGGTGTGTCCTGTCAGGGTTATTTGCTTTTAGGGAATTGCTAGAGTATTTTAAAAAGCGGAGATTAGGTTAAAAACTTAACTGGTCCTTAACAGGTGTGTATATGTACTGTGGATGGGAGTCCAGGAGAAAAGTAGGCAAGGGATTTTGAACAGGCCTTTGGCAAATAAAAGTGCTTTTGCCCTTCAGCAAATTGCTTGCCTGGGTGGCACTGATGGGTTAGGATGCTGGGAAGGCCAGGAGGAAGCAGAGACTTTATAGAAGCAGGGAGTCGTAAATAGGGTTTATCTGAGCTATTCTATTTTGCGTTCTGTGTGTCCCTCTTATGTCCTACTCCTCTTTCTATCCAGAGTAAGCACAAAAATAAAGATTACCACCCTTTGTGTCCATAGTCAAAATAACTATGTTAGTAATTATAATTCCACACTTTACTTCAAAGAAAATACCTTTGGGCTGATCCTATTATATACAACACCAGGGACAACCAGGCACTCTTGCTACAGCTTTCTCTCCATGAAAGCAAATTCATACAGATGCTACTTCATACTACTGATGGAAGTCTACGGAAATCAATATTGGAATTTGACATTAACAAGCTAGATTCCAAAACATCTTTGACAACCAAACAAGCTAGAAGAAACATGGCATGATGAAAGTTACTTGAGGTAAAAACAACTGCATGCAATTTTGAATATGTCAGTTTTCTCTAGCCATAATAAATACCTGAAATGCTAATCTTCTGTTTAATTTCAAGCTGATTCTTATGTGCTTAGGGAGAGGGAAGAAGAGTTTAACTTTTCACAAGTCAGGGCATCAGAGTATAACGGTAGCACTGCTAGCAAGTTATCCCTCCTGAGGTATGTAATTCAAAATAGACTTTGGGATAACTTTTCAAAACGCATCACAGGAAAATTCTCTTTTACAGATGCATAGGATAACCTTGCTTACACTTATTGTTTCAAGTTTGCATTTCAAAATGTTACTTATTTTTAAACTTCCAAAAGAAAAATCCACATTGCTAGGGAAGTAATTCAGAATAAAATTTCAATACAACTAGTGATCAAAAAAGAACAACAGTTACCGCTCTTGACTAATAGCTTATTGAATAAGTGTCCAATTACTTATTCATGCCCATGAGAAACACAGCGACTTCCTCTACCCCTGCAAGAACAGGAAGACATAGTACTGTTTCGTACTCCACATACCTTTGATTCTAGAAGCACGAACAGTAAGTTTAAGCAACTGTGGCAACTTATTATATGTACAAGTCTATCTTGCCTTTAATTATTTTGTATATTCTTCTATTTGCCAAAGTCATTGATTTTCTGACAGCCCTCAAGGCATCTCTTCACAGTGAAATGAGCACTCTGCAGAACACTGATCTATAGCCATCTTATTGCAATAATGGAGAAGTGAATTTAATGATTATCCAGTCTATATCAATTGTGTGTAGGGCATACACAGCTTGACTTAGCTATCTAACTTCTCCGCATGCATGCTGTAAACTCCTTCCGAGTTTTCCTACTGCCTGGAATCAAACCTTCTCTTGAGTGATCAAAAGCATTTATTAGGGTTGAATGCCGCACTAACTCTTCTTTGTAGTGGCACGTGTACATCTTTTTGTACTTGAAGGAAGGACTAATCCAGACTGAATTCTGTCCAAGTAACAAAATATTGCTGATAAAAAACCAGACTGAACCGGCATTCGTGAACTTGTGTTTGGCTGCTGCGGTCATCATTTTATTTGTAAAGTACTCCATCATGTCAAAGGCCATTTTTAACCCCCTTGTGGCATCAAAATTTGACAAACAGATTAAAGTGGATAGGTTCAAGAAGAATGTGTTACTAGGGCTAGACTACATTTCTGATTCATATTCCAGATCACAGCCTATTAGAGCTATACAGTGTTTTCTTAGCATCATAAAGACACAGCTGATTCACTTTTTGTTGATAAGATCAAGTTGTAAAAAAATCTCCTCCACAACATTTAGCCTCACTAGTGTCAGCATAGCTGATGTACACTTACTAAATCATGCCACTGTGAGAACTCTGGCTCTTCAACCCTTACCCACCCAGATTTTCCACAGCCACAAAGATCACGTCAATTTCACTGTCTCGTGACAGTCCCTATGGCTTGCTGTCTTGTAAAAGAAAGAAAATTTTATAGATCATTTAGCTTTTCTGCCTTGGGAAATTAATCACCCTAAAAGCAGAACCAAATTAAGATAAATTCAGGTTTCTAGAACTGTATTTGTAGAGCTTCAAGGCATCCTTTTCTCTATAAGACCTCAAATAATGGCAATAAGAACACTTTATTTTTTCGGGCTGTTTATAAAAACATTCCTATAAAATAGCATGAACTAGTCCCATGAACAGCACCTCAGACCGCAGGAACTTCACCTGCTAGAGACAGAAGCTAGCTGTTAGAATTTCTTCTGAAAAAAGTAAAAAAAAAAAAAAAAAAATCCAAACAAATTTAAAATCACAGGGTGGGTAAGAGTGGGGAGGATCACTTGCTTACATAAGAAGCGTGCTCTATCAAAGCTGGTTACCCTGGACTGTACCAGACACTTCACTATGAACGCTTACAGAATAAACTGCCTTGGCCGAACGCTTCCTCTTGCCCTCAGCCAAATAGACGAGCATATCCATTTATTTACTCAAGTCATATCTCAAAGCAAGATGTCTTTATCAGAAAAATATAATCCTCTGAAACCTTTTAAGATTTTGTCTAAACAGCATCTTCTGGCAACAAGTTCTACATTAACTGTGGAAAACATTCTCAACTTTCATTTGCTATTTTTCAATCGCACCTTTACCAAGTGAAAATACTTAGCAATGCTAAGTGCATCCTCACGATAGCCTGATTTTGGTCACATGGGTATTGTGGAGTTTACGGGACCAACTGTTACACTATTATTTGGTATGTCTGAATGAGGTGCCTTGAGTTTCTCAGTCACTTTTAGAATCCTTAGCCTCCACACACAAAATCTGGCAACATTTATTTCTAAAGGCAAGGTGGTTTAAAATGATAACTTTAAAACCTGCATTTCCTCTCATAACACAAGAACAACAACATTGTACTGAATATAGTTGATTTTTAAAGGAATTAAAATATTAGTGTAGAAAAATAGGCATGTTATCCTGCATAAGCCTTTAAGCCTTTTGATCCTCATGGAAGCTATGATCAGATAAAGAATTCTTTTCACGTAAGAAATCTGTAACAGTTTCTGGCTATTTTATTGAATTCAAATTCTTCTGATACACCAGTAACCTAGTCACATTAAATCTTAGATCAGATTCTTAGGAAAACTCTACAATGGCAGCTCAAACTAAACAGATTTTAGACAAAAAATCTGCACATATTAAGAATGTCCTGCTGGTATGAAAAGTAAAGTGTGAAGTAAAAGAACATCACTCTCAGGAGCTAAAGACTTAATTGCTTTACAGTTAAAATAACAGAAAGGTGAAAGAAATATCCTTTCTTGTGTAAATTAATACCTCTATGCTTTTCTAAGGTTACAGATTAAATAGTTCACTTTCCAAAGCCATTCAAATTGAACAGATGTATTTTGAGCATTGACGGGCAGGTAGAACTTCAGATCGTCACTAGGTTTTCAATCTTGCAATCCACAATTCTCGTTATTCAGCTCCAACGCTAACTACTAGGCCTAGGTGAGTATGTCATTTTTTCCACATCACAGACGGGGAATAACTGTGCTGGTTTCGATCTATAAGGGTTAGTCTTACAGGACACTGCTTAAAGTTGTATCCATTTTCTCCAGAAGCCACTTTTTTATATAGCCACCAACACATTTATAGTTCATGTTTTAAAAGTCTCATCTTAATGCGTCGGATATATCCCAGAAGAAAAATTTCTTCCACTCAGTGGAAGAAAATAAGCATACAACTTCAGAAATCAAACCATTTCTACGCAGATAGAGGCCTACAAAGGTCAGCTCCCAAGTTTGAGAATATTTGTCATACCCCAAATCCTAATTAACAAAGTTCTTTAGTGTAAGAAACTATATCAGACCATGAAAGTAGATACGGTATCAAGAAAGGGAAAAATTCCTCAATGACCTAGCTGTCCTTGGATCACACGTTTATTAACACACCTTCTACAAGTACCCCTGCTGTTACCTAGGTGAGAAGAGGGGACAAGGACAAACAGGGAAGGTTAACATATTCCTTTTCTCATTTTATTGTAAACCTCTCCCAAAGGAGGAAAGACTTTGCCTCTCTCAGCCTACAGAATGATGCACTAGAAGCACATACTCACTTCTTCTGTGTGAGATCCAAACCACTGTTGACTATTCCCTCCACCTTGACATTTTTCTGTCCACAGATATTTCCATAGCTGTCATATCCTGAAAGCAGCCTCGCAGCTGCTCCTGTAGCTATTGAAAAGCCACAGATAAATCCCTGGGGGAGAAAAAACACAGTTTAGTAATTTTTTGTTTGCTATTAAGGAAAAGCCAGCTTAATTCATTTGTTCCTAAGCATAGCTTCTTCAAAAAAAATCTTTCAGGTTAGGAAGGAAAGACGAGGACAATCCACCGAGAACTACTGTACAATTATGAATTTAAATACAAGGCAAACCAAGGATTCAGATCTCTAGTCTTACATATTATCCAAGCAGAGCTAAGAATCTTCTAGGTGCTTTTTTGAGAGTCATCATATCCTAACAAAGTGGTGCATTAAGCAGCAGAAAGGCCAAGGAAAGGCAGTGAAGGAGAATTACAGGCAGAGCTGGAGTTGTCAGGGATCAGTACGCATCTCAAAAGATTCCAGACAGTCTGGATGTTCTTGCTTTAGGATTTTTCTTCATTCAAAATACGTGCTTTCAATGTTGAGCTGGAATGAAGATGTAAATCTATCTGAGGTAAATGCCTTTTAAGGAAATCCGCTAAAGCGAAAGAAGGAAGTGGCCAGGTCCAGGCCACCGAAGGTCCAACTGCTGGAGTTTAAATGCAAGAAAGGAAAGAAATAAGGAGCAGGAGAATGGAAAAGGCCTTAGACAGAGCAATGTGGGAAACGCCCCATGTCTGGTACATCTCACTGTGAACTTTCAAAGATCTTACACTAGCCAAACCAGGTTCAAGGCAGAGACGAGATGACCAGAGATGAACGCGCCCCCCCAAAAATCATTAGCTCTCTAGCAATCCCACTGACAGGGAGAAGTGAATTGTAGGCTTGCTCCAGTGCCCTCAGTGAACTGCTTCTACAGATGAGCTGCAAGCTAAGACTTGAGAACGGGAAGCAGAGTAAATGGTTGAGACAAATGTGTGGAGCAACAGATGGCAGCAACAGCATTGTGCAAGGTGATGACATGAGGCAATGAGATCAGCATGGAACAGGTAAAATGTGGGTGGTTTTAAAGGTCTGAAAATACAAGAGGGTGATCTTCTAGGATGGAAGCACCCAAGATTAGGTCATTCTAGAGACATTCCAAATACTAAGCTGGTTATTATCTTTTTCTTGACAACGTTCTAATGTACTTACAGACTTAATACTCAAAGTTAAAGCAAGGGCAGAGGGAGCAACATGTACCAGTAATAATTAAAGCTGATTTACAGCACTCACTTTCAATTTCTTGGTTCCCTGTAAATGACATACAAGTATGCATTTTTACATACAGTGGTATTCAGGTTCTCAGCTTGTTCGTGAATTTTTTTCCTTATAAACAGGGTAGAAAGAAATCACATGATTCTGTCTTCACCCTTCTAATCTATTCTGCAGTGCTACCACGGCCTCCTGACCCATGGTGCTATCTGACCCTTCAAGTGAAATAATTCAGGACATTGTATTTGGCTGAGCAGTATGATTGCTCTGCATATTATATTGCTTAAAGACAGGGAAAACCTGGGACACTAACTCACAGTAGACAAATTTATCATTGTGGGCAGCAGATAGGTATTGACTGAGTTACCAGAGAACATCAGCAACAGGGGCAGGAAAAAGTAATCACAAAGACTGCATGTTTCAGGAAATACTGTGCATTTTATGACTTTAAGATATTCACATGTTATAGTGAGAGCATAAGTTGTAAGATTTAAACACAACATTAGCATCTCTACACTGAAAGCATAGCCAGTGACAAACACTTTGGGGAAATGCAAAAGGAAAACCAATTGATCAATAGAATAAGAATTTCAAAAAACAGAGGCAAAGGGACTAGAAAAAGAAAGCTGATATCATACAAATTCCAAATTCTTTAGGCCTACTACTTGCAACATAGCAGTACAAGACAGTGACAAAGCAGTACAAGACAGTGACAAAGCAGTACAAGACAGTGACAGACATTCTACATTTAGGAAGAACAGCACACATAGGTCAATTAAACAATACAAGACAAAAAGAAACTATGACTGTCTATTGCTAGTTTCCATTAAGCTGCAGGTTTTGGGGCTTGCTTGTTTTTTTTTACTATAAAGGGCATAGTGCTGTGAAATTATACTGAGAAAGGTGAGAGTTTCAATATACAAGGCAAAGCAGCAATATCTCAGATGGAATAGGAAGAACCTTACCGTTGGGAATAAGGTTGATTATAGTAGGTGCTTCTACTGAGCATCCAAGCAGAACACGGTCAACAGTTTGATGTTTAAAATCTTTGCTTCTGTGCTACAAGTCTATTGCTGTTAATACAACTGTTTACCAGGCTCAAAGCTATCATTTTCAGGACATCTGCAGTCCCATAAGGAGCATAAGCCAAGTGGTACCTTATATCACTAGAGATCACTTCAAGATTAAACTCATGTTTCAGAAGAAAGGGAACTGGAGGCAGACGTGGTGCAAACGACAAATTCTGAATCCCTACCAAAGGTCTTTGATCTGTACACACTACTAAAATAAAATCCATTGCTGCTTCACAGCAGACGGTTCCTAGGCTATTATACCCGGACCTTGTCTGAGTTACCAAATGCACAATGTTAAAACCTTTTTCTAACGAACGCAAACTCTCCGACTACGTAACGTTCACAGGATTTTTCGCATTTTACTCACCATTCCTATGCAGAAGAGGATGAATAGGAGCAGCCACGGCACATCTGTGCAGCTGTGATCCTCCAGTGGTTTCCACTCTCGCTTGGAGCTCTTAGGTGAGAAGAGACAGAGATGGGGTTAACAACGTTTATTCCAATTCACTGTCTTCTACTTACAAAAGAAAAAAAATGCAGAAAATAGTTCTCCAGGGCATTAACATACAACTGGTGTTATCTTTAAACTCAGATATACCTGAAAAAAGTTCATCTAAAACATGTCATGAAAGACATTAAGCGCATCCACTGGAAGCTAATCAACAAAATTATTTATCCAGAAAACAGACAGGAACAGTGAAGGTTCATTTCCCTTATTTCTCTAGTTTTAGCAGAAAAGGGAAGCTAAAGACATTGAATCAACAACAGCTGTTGCTGCCCTCTTCTATAGCTACCTTCCAGTAATCTGCTTTCCAAGAAGGATAAAAGTTTAAGCTTTGCAAAAGCTTTTAAGTTTCAAGACATTATTAGCAATATTACCAAGTATAGTGCATGTAGAAAGAATGAAAAAAAATTGCTGTTGAAGTAACAGTTCTCTATCTGCCAAGAAGAGGCAGTTGAGTTCAACACTTAAGCAATACTGAGTCAGGACTTCTTTGCCGAGGTGCCAGAAAGGAAAGCCTTGTACTTGTAAGGTTAAAACATTGTAAGCCTTGTAAAGTTAAAACATTGAAGGAGGGAGACTCTATTGCTAAGTATAAAGAGGTGGATATACTTTGTCTCATGAATTAAAACTGTAGTCGCAGACTGAAGTTTCACTACATTGGCTATTTCTTTTTTTTTTTTTTTCTTCAAGTTTTTCCTATATTAGTCCAACTTGCACATATACGTACTCTGACCAGTGAAGTATGACAGAAAAAAGAAAAGCTCTCTGGGAACCAGAGCTTTTGTGAAAGGTGTTGACCGGCTGACCCTATTCCGCTACAATCTGAGCAACAAAAGAATTTAAATTGCAGACAAGCTATGGCACTCCCAAGCTACGAAAAAAAACTATAGCACCTTAAAAGATACACAGGAAGAATGTTCACATACATACAGATTTTATTAGGCAGAGACTACCCACACCAGTTCCAGCCACTGAAAGGCATCCTTACATGCAGGAGGAAATAGGAGGAATAGATAACGTTCTGAAGTCAAGGTGCAAACAGCATCTCTTCAGTTTGAAAGGCTTCTAGTGCAAGAAGTTGTTCTGGTTGCAGCTGTGACAATGTAAAAATCAAAAAGCACAGTTTTCTAAGCACTAGGACTTTGCATTAGGGAATTCCATGTCATTTTTGCAGCCTTATATTAAGGATGTTCCATTTAATACTTTTAATTCCGGTTGCACAAATTCATTCTGGGCTCTGAACAGTCAAGCTTCTTTTTATTTTACTCGTTAATCACCGGGGAGAGGTGTTAAAAGGTCACATTATGCACTCTGCTACACTCATTCAACAAAACTGGCTTCTGATCCTGAAAGTCTGCACCTAGAACTAACACACTGTTTAAACTTAACATTTACACCTAGATTGTGGCATTTATACTGTTACAATTAGCATAATCAGAACTGCACAAAGTGTGTAAAGCTTCATGCTCAGGATTCCTCAATTCACTCCAAGGATCCTGGATTCATTTCAGATTTGCTCTTATTTACACACAGCATAGAGAAATTTCAGCTCTAAATGCACCTTAAGAGTAAGCTGCCCTTGACAGAAGACACAGTAATAAGACGCATAGGGTGGGGGAAGTGGGTGAGGGGAGGGGGTGGGTATGCGGAGTTATCCTCTTTGTACCATTTTGCAAATAAAATCTTTTAATTGGATTTTTAAAAGCCACTGGACATCCTCTGGAACAGCTCTCACAAGGACTTATTAGGATGTCTGACTACTCACAGTTACCGTAAGTAACCCATTTCATTCACCAAGTTGACTGCAATTTATATTCCAAAAAGAAACTTGAAAAGACATGGTGTAACAAGCAGTTAGAAGGTTACACAGAGAAATTCAGTCTGTGTCCATAGCCTTTACTTGGCGCCAAAACATAGTTTTTTATTTCCAGAAAAACAAAAGCACTAAGGAAGATATTCTAAACAATGAGTTCTCTTTGAGGCAACTCAAAAGTAGCTTCACTGGATACTTACCAGCCCATATTTTAACTACCCAGCATAACAACACCATAGAAAGCGAAAGATCTTTATTGCCATGTCCCGTTCATTCCAGTAGGCTCACCACTTCTCTCCAGACCTTGCTACAACCTGAGCTAGCTGGCAGTAACTATTTGATGTTTTCTTCTCACTAGTTTCCTTGTACTCTGGATTCCCAATGAAGCTTCTTCCCCGAGCTTCTAACCTCTTTACCATCACTGGATCTTTGATGCTGGTGCCTGTCTCTCTCCAGTGGCCTAGTGCTACTCCCAGCCTGCTCTATCCCCCGAGATCTTTACTCAGACCTTAATATTCATGCTCAGGCATCACAAATCATTAAGCCGTGGTCAATATAAGGTCTAAAAAAATGACGTTTGTTCTGCAGTTTGGAAACTATGCTTTATCTCCTTTGTAAACTGAAGTAGTATCAAAATTTTAGCTGACGTGTTTGGCCTACAATCCTCAATCAGCAGCTCTACGGATTTTGGCCCTTCCTCTAGACAGATTAAGACCCTTTCAATATTTGCTGGCGAAAGCAGCTTATGGTTAAAATAGAGAATTTTTTTTTTTTTTACTTTTAGATTCCATGTAAGTTATCTCTTAAAATAGAGCTTTTGTAGTATATTCTATGCTACTTGTGGATACTGCTGCAACTAACAAAACACAGGGTCTATGTGTGCACAGTCATGGCAGCACAGAGGATCAAGAGCACTATCAGTCAAAATGGAGAGTAGGCAACAGAACACTTTCCAAGGACTTAGAGTCTGGACACTTTTGCTGTTCATAATAGCTCCAGGGTGCTGTTTTTAAGGGTTAGGAATTATTTACTCAAGAATCTAAATGAATGTGTTCAGAAATACACTCCACATGTTCAGTTGGCTACCTATATAACCCAGTTTTCAGAATAGTCTGCAGATTCAGTGCTTCTCAAAGACAAATCAGAATTGCTAGGCGCCACGTAATTTTACAATTCCACCTTAGTTCATTATCTAGAAAGTTTGGTGTCTAAACTTAAGCTTTAGAATTGAAATCTAAGGTATGAGTTTAAGAGGACACAGGTCCTTAAAGAAAGTTAATTTTTTGCAGAAGATAAAAGTGTGAAGAATGCCAGTAGATTAGCTGTTAGCTTTTTTAGCTTCATTCAGAGGTAAACGATCTCAAGTGAGAGAGTCCCTATATCGAAACATAAAATAAAAAGGGACTTTGTTCTTGGTATTCATTGCATCCAATCACTTAAAAATCTAGAAAAATCCTCAGATTTTTGTCTCTTCCCCCTTTCAAAAAATATCTTAGCAGCACCACGTAGCGGGCCTGAATTTAGATCTCTCCCACATACTTTAAAATACCATGCTTTAATCACTTCTTTACACAGTTATTAGCATAGCACAAAACCAATAGCTATTTTAGGTACTCAGCTATTGTCAGCTATAATAATAGCACAGAAGACAATCATACAAGCACTCACCTACCCCAGCTAGAGTAAAACCCAGAAGTGAGTTCACAAAAAAAGTACAAAGATATGCCAAGGAAACAAAAGACTACAGATGCCGATCACATTTCTGAGCCAAAAATAAGTCTCAGAAAAGACCAAGGATGGAAGGGTTCCACAGAAATCCTGCAGGAAGATTCAGTAGTCATGAGGAAGAGCAGTCTTCCAAACTACTAATCTAATTCCAGGACCACCAAACACAGTGTGAAGAAAACCATGGGAAGGCAAAATGTAAAAGCACTATCCACTTTCAGCAAAGTTAAGCTGAGTTAAACTTAATGAGATATCAAATATTCGAGCTACACCACTCCAGTTCAAGAGAAGGCTTTCAAATGAAAACGTTCAGAATTCCTGGAAGGTCCAAAACCAGGACAAACTGCTCACTGCTTCAAGTTAATAATGCTATATAAGACATTATATGCAGATGAAACAGTGACCCAATATTCTACTTCACCGTTTACTTTAATACTATGTCAAGCCAAAAATATCAGAAAAGACAGAAAAGTTGAAAGACAGATACACATAAACCATTTTGATATTCCCTCTTAAAAAGCAATCAATCCTTTTATTTGCAATAGCTTCCTTTTTCTTTCAACCTGACTCTAGTACAGCAGGAAGATGTTGCAAAACATCCAGTTTGCCCATTCTCAATGGCTGCAAATGGGTATCATTTTATACACTTCGAAATGACCACTTTTTTGTATTCAATGTTAAATACAGAAAAGGTATTTTGTCTCATCTCTCTAAAAAGACTCAGGTCCAGATTTCAAATTTTTTTTTTTTTAGAACCTAGCATAATAAGACATTTAAGCACTTGCTCCATTCCCCCGTAGCAGCTGATTCCAGGCTGTAATGATGCAAGTTTTCAGACCACTCCTCTTCTGAACTGTCTCATGGACAATTCTTGGGTTTCAATAGTCAGGCACATTATCTGGTGTATGGGAACTTCACCAACTGCTTTTACCGTGTCTTTATTTCAAATTCAGTAATTGCTCGACCTTTTCTTAAAGACTGCATAAGTTCACAAAATAAACTCTCCCACTAGTCTGCCCTCATCAACACATGGCGCATGCCTCATCTTCTAGCTCGTATACTCCCTTCTATATTAAATCCACCTTGCAAGCTTCAAGTATCTCCATCACTGCAGCAAAGGTAAGCCCTTACAAGGATCTGTCCTAAAAGCATTAAGTCAATTAGAAAATTTAAGAAAGCTTAAGATTCAGCTTCCTTCCACAGAAGCCTTGCTTCTCTCCTGTTATGACGTCAGTTACAAACACTGGGACAACATGAATAGCCGAATTCCAGTTTACACAGAAACCATTTTGTTGAACAAGATCTATAAACCTTTATATGAGAAGTCACCTTGAATTCCCTGGATGACAGAGATTTGTTTCAGGTATTCTAAATCACATTTACACAAGAGCTCTGATAGTCTTTAATGAAGTCG